ACTTGATAGGCTGATAATTCTCGATGATCACTGTCCTTGAACTTCTTCTCATCAATGTGCACGTACTGGTAAGAACCATCTTCACTGCCCCCATAACCATACCATTCTCCCTTTCGTTCCCATTGCCTACTCTCGTCCTCAAGGTAGGTGACCTCCCCATTCTCGTCGACGCCGAGTACTTCCTTGAACCATACCATCTTCTCGGGGATCTCGGACTCGCCAGACCATCTTGACGACTCACTCATGACATCGTCGTCACGCTCGTGGTAGACAGTCTCGGCTTCATCCGGTTCAACTTGATCAACGTCCTTCTTGAAGCTGACCTTTCCCGCAGGGACCGATTGCTTCAAGACTATCGCAGGCATGGCGATGGCCCTTCTCACAATCGCTGGCGCCGCGGCCTTGGGGGGCAGCCTTCGGCTTGGCTTGTGCCTTGTCTCCTGACATTGCCGGAGCCGAGTTGTTCTTGATGAGCTCATGCTTGTATTTGCAGGCACTCCCTTTCTCACACTTTCCCTTCTGGAACGCGTAGCACACTCCATCCTCCTTCTTCGGTGAGGACGATCTGGATTTGGACTTTCCTTTCCCTTTTCCTTTGGGCATGTTCTCCAGCTTGTGCTCCGTCTTCTTGCTGTGAGAAAATGGGCACTCATTCCCCTTCAAGCATCCCTTCTCTGCTTTGAAGTGATACCAACATGGGTTTTCCTTGCTTCCGCTCGGACTCTTGCCCCTGTCGTTGGGACTATCGGACTTGCCGTTCTTGCCAGCGTGACCCTTTGCTTTGGCCTTCGGGCGCACAGGAGCGGCATCAGGTCCCTTGGATTTGTCCTTCTTACCTTTGCCACCTTGCCCTTCTTGCTTTCCGGCAGCCGGGGCTGCGTCTTTGCCGCCCGGCTTCATCATCGTTTTGACCGACTTCTCCTTCATGTCGAGCATCAGGTCCTCCCGATCCGGCTTGATTTGGTGGTCGATTAATGCCAATAAGAATTCGTACGACTTTTGAGGATGTTTGTCCGGCAACCTGTGGTAGGCGTTGAGGCCGAACTCCATCTTCTTGCTCCCTTTGATCTTCCTGTATAGGATCTCTCAGTGCCAATGGACTGGGTCTGTCTTCGTTCCTCATCTTTAGCAGCAAATCATACCATTTGTTCCTGAACACGACCAAGTTCTTATCTCCAGGAAAGTCGAGGTTGAATAAGTGCTCGATGTGATAGACAAGGTCCGTCCGATCAGATGTTCTGAATGATTGCATGACCAATGCCACCAACTCTCGTCCCTTCACGATCACTCCTTGTTGATGTCGTAGTTCTGAATGTCGTGTAGCATCGAGGTATGCTTGTCTCAGCATGTTCTGCACGCCCATGGCCATCTTGATGTCGATTGTAGCGAATCTGTCACCGCCTGAGTCGCTTAGTAGATTGAGGTCTGGGTTTAACCCGAGAGCCTGTTCCAACCACCTTGTCCATGCGTCGGTATCCGGATCTGCGCATGCACTCAGCACACTCATCAGCAATTGCATCTTCCAGCTATCGAGCTGATGGATCTTCGGCCAATTGGGAATGGATACCCTTTCAGCCTCTTTCCTTGAAATCCTCGGCCTCTCGTTCTTGATCTCACGATCATCTCTCAATCGTCTGTGTCCCCTCCGCGTCCGACTGTCTTCTTCTTCTTCCTCGTCTTCCTCATCCTCTTCGTCATCGTCATCTTCATCCTCATCATCGGGCGGATCATCTGGAGGTCCTCCCCCACAACCTGTTAGAACCTGTTAGAATGAAATGACGTCGACCAGGTCCCTGATGCCTGTTGGTTCCCGCTGGATGAGAATCCGTTGTTGTCCACTGGAGGTGTAGTGCCGTTGTTCCCCCTCCATTACCACCACCGGTTGTAGTCGTAGGTTGTGGGACAAGTCCGACAACCCCCTGCATCTGTGATAGGTGTACATTGATCATCGGATCACCAAAAGACGGAAAGAGAATCGAACCCGGCACTAGTGACGAATTAGGGATTGAATTGGATGATGATGACGGGTATGTCCCGGCCATCTTCTTGTCATCCCTAACCGAATTAAGTTGGGGTCCTCCCTCAAGGCGTTTCACTACTGCTCGTTCACGACGTTCATCCTTCTTGCCCGAGGCCTCCTGAACCTCCAGCTTCTTGAATGTCCTGAGCTCCTCGTTGTCTGCATCAAGTTGACGAACGAAGCTCTCTTCTTGTTTGATCATCGCCTCCCGATTCATCAATTGTTCCTGAAGCTTGCGCATCTCCTCGAGGTACTCATCATGCATCCCTTTAGCTGTCGACTTCCAGAACTCGGCTTCTTTCGACTTCTCGTCCATCGTGCACCGTTCCTCTTGCTTTGCTTCCCTGACTTGGGCCAATTCCAAGATAGCATCCTGACGATGGCCACCCTCGATAGCAATCATCTGATCCTTCTTGACACGTCGGATACATACTGTTTGACGATTTCTTCCTTCTCACGAAGCAAACATTCGATTCTTGCTCCGCAAATGTCGTCACGTCATTCAGTCTCGTCATCAGCTGCTCCCTGGTGTCCTCCATCGAGTACATCTCGGGGCGCTTGACCAGTGCATGTTCCAACTGTGACTTCAGGCTCTGAACCATCTCCTCCTCGTTGAACTTCTCAATAGATGTAGACGACTCAATCCCTCTGATCTGTTGCTGATAAACGGAAATCTGTTTCGAAGCTTCACGGTGAATTTGACTTGCATGTATAGCTGATTCCTGCGCAGCTGCCTTCTCGCTCGCCATGTAGGATCTCATCACTGCAATCTCCCGCTTCTGCTCCATGATCATTCCCTCAGCTTGTCTCATCTGTTGCATCATTGCTCTTTCTTCTCCCCGTATTGATATGCGTTCATTTCTGCCTCTCGCATCTGTTGGGCTGCCGCCTCAAACTTGCGCCAGGCCTCTGCCATGTGGTGTTGGTGATGACTCACAAGATGCCCCGATCGCTTGCTGGCAATATCGCATCGTCTTTCCAGCTCCTGGATCCGGATGGTGCTCCCATAGTCTTCTTGATGAAGATTTGCCATTACCGCTGACATTTCATCAATCGTCTTCTGATACTCCCCGATCTCCATCTCCATCTTGTTCTTATCTTTGATTGCCGCGCGAAACTCGGCACTCGTGGGCGATTTGGATCTACCACCTTTTGATGTCGATCTCACGCTCTTCTGTGACGCCCGTGGGGTCGCTGGTGAAGATGATGATCTTCTCGGCGGAGAATCTCTCTGTTTCGACTCCTGACAAATAGCGACTTGATTCCATGATCTCGTTGGCGTGGATATGTCGCTGAATAGCGCGGATCCACCGCTCCCAGGTTCATCCTGTGAATCTGCGACCATATCCATTACCGCAGGAAGAGCCATCAATCCATTGGATCCCTCCGAACTGTCGTTCCCAAAAGTTGCAGTACTTGGGCTCGCTGAAGATGCCATTGTATTGTGTGGGTTATTGTATTTCTGCAGTTCCTGTACCCGCAATAAACCAGCTGTCTCTCCGTCCAGTGTAGAGCTTGCGATACGGCTGATAACCTGTCGAGAGATGGCAAGATGACGTCCCGTGGGACGCTGTCCACCGAGCCTCAAGCTGAATGTACTCGACCACGTAGAAAGGGTATACGGCCAAACCGTTATAGCCAAACCAGTGCAAACTGTTGTAAGGGTATTGTCCAGTAACCACACACACGTCCGATATCAGCAGCGCGAATGAACCTGAATTCTCTCAAACAGATCGATCACAGGCGAACGTAGTTCATGCAAGACCTTGAGCCCTACTTGTAACTTGAGCCAAGTGTGGCGTCCAATGGAACACTTTAATCAACAAGAACATGGACCTCAGAACGGCTTCCCAATTAAGGCACGGGGCCAGGAGGGTTTTAACACAGACACACAGACACACAGACACACAGACACACAGACACACAGACACACAGACACACAGACAGACAGACAGACAGACAGACAGACAGACAGACAGACAGACAGACAGACAGACAGACAGACAGACAGACAGACAGACAGACAGACAGACAGACAGACAGACAGACAGACAGACAGACAGACAGACAGACAGACAGACAGACAGACAGACAGACAGACAGACAGACAGACAGACAGACAGACAGACAGACAGACAGACAGACAGACAGACAGACAGACAGACAGACAGACAGACAGACAGACAGACAGACAGACAGACAGACAGACAGACAGACAGACAGACAGACAGACAGACAGACAGACAGACACACAGACACACAGACACACAGACACACAGACACACAGACACACAGACACACAGACACACAGACACACAGACACACAGACACACAGACACACAGACACACAGACACACAGACACACAGACACACAGACAGACAGACAGACACAGACACACAGACAGACAGACACACAGACAGACACAGACAGACAGACAGACACAGACAGGACAGACAGACAGACAGACAGACAGGACAGGACAGACAGGACAGACAGGACAGACAGGACAGACAGACAGACACAAACAGACACAGACAGACACAGACAGACACAGACAAACAGAGACAGACACAGACAGACACAGACAGACACACACAGACACAGACAGATACAGACAGACCAGACAGACACAGACAGACACAGACAGACACAGACAGACACAGACAGACACAGACAGACAGACAGACACCTGCAAGCAGGAAAGTCCAATGGAACCATTGCTGTCACATCTGCCCCCCCTCCCCCCCCTCTTGCCAGGAACTGAAGGATTCTGAGAACCTTTCCAAGCAGGGGACCCTAAAGTTTTTGGCTGGTTGCTTAAGAGCATGAGAAGCAAGAAAGGGGTCAAATTGAAAAGCTAAAGGGAACCCCGCCCATTTGGAGAAACCATAAGCAAAAACACACTGGGTTCTCTCGTGAAGGCCAAGGAGCTTAGGACTGCACGTCCAGCAAGGCTGAGGCACTGCCAGTGGTGACCTTCTACATCGCTGGGCACCTGCGTGTCCGAATTCGCAACGGCTCCCGGTCCGCACGGCGCGCATCTCGAGATTTCTTGGTGTGCAAAAGAAACCAAAAAAAAGAAAAGGCCAAAGCTTTGGAGGTCCCCCTATTTGACTCCTATTCTGGTATGAGTTTTCATTAGACCCGAGATGGTTGGCAGAAATCGGAGGGGATTGTCCACTTCCATCCCACAGCACCTTGGGAACCAAGTCCAAGACTGCTTAAAGCAGGCCAAGGGAAGTTTGTGGCCCACAGCCATGAATGGCCTAGTCGCAAATCGCCTTTCTCTGATGTTCAGCGTGTGGGACATATCCATCACGAGAGGGTTCCCAGGTTCCCCCTGATTCGTGGCCAGCCCCGCAAAAGCCCTGAAACATTCCCAGATGTGCGCCGCGCGTCACCCTAAGAAGCGAAAACGTGAGCCAGTGGGCAATCATGTTGGCCGGCGGCCTGAGCCGGTGGCTCAAAAGTAGTCACTGTTAGCCTTCAATCGCTCCCCTTACTATGCCATAGCAAGGGGAGCGGTTGCAGGGCATGTTCTTCGGGCCATAGCGACCATAGCCCTGCAGAACATGACCAACACGTGACTCTTTTTAACGAAAAGCGGACGTTTAACAAACCTGGGATTCTCTTGTCGGGGTACTTGCTTTTTGCGGGTATCTTTCTTGCGGTTGGTGACGAAAGGGGCCCATTTTGGGCTCCGATTCCCTATTTTCTCCGCTAACATCACACACGAACCGGGTGGGGCGTGGCAGGTTCAATTCCGTGCTGCCGACAAATCGCGCGCCGAGATTTTCCCTCAGGGAGGGCCCGGAGTGGACGCTAATATCCGAAAGAGCTTGATAGGGATATCGGTGTATCGGTGTATCAGCTGCGGTGCAAAATTTGAGAACCCGGAATGCCGGCGCAATGCACTTTAAGTGGAAACTGGAGTTTAAGTGGTGACATTTAAATCATCCCAAATAGGAAGCGTGAACCCTGTTTGGTGACGTGGAAGAATGGCTGAATGACTTTGACTGGGTTCTAGCAAATGGGTTTCAGGAATAACAAAAACATGGCTCCAAATAGCTGCGGTTCAAACATGCGTGGCTTTCTATTTGGAAAACATGGCTGGCCCGCAACCCCCGGAAAGAGACGGTCGTCTCCCCCATGTCCTTAATTTTAAGCCGGGATGGGATGTGAGGAAGCCAGCGCGCAAGTGCCAGGAACCACTTAGAGCGCTACCAGTGGGGGGTGCCGATTTCCTCAAAAGCAGCGGCAGCATTCATGCACCAGCAACTAGACACAAGCACAACGCCAACATTCACCAGCCTACGCTGATTCGCGGGTGGACTTGCGACTTCCAAAAAAAGGGCGAACCTTTGGTTCAATTCCGGACAAAGCATCCTTCAGTTTTGGACCAGGTTGCTCCTTCAATCCGTGTATGACTGAACCGCCTTTCGAAACCTCCAAGAAGCCGAGCAGCTAATTGGATGACCAGCGAGGGACTCATGCGGCTGGAGACGTAGATTTCACCCGCCTGGAATCCGCAAGCGGCCCAATTGGTCCCAATTGAGCGCCCCACGCCCAAGCTGACCTTTGATGCCAAGATGGTTGCAACACAAACACAAAACTGACTCTGAAGGGGGGGGTTGGGGCGCTTATTGCTGGTTGTCTGCTGCACTCCGTTTCCCATGCAGGTGTCGCTTCTTTGAACCCCCAAAATGCTGGTTTCCCTGTCGGTTTCCCTTTAAATCAACAAGAAAAAGGAGAAAGCCAAGACGAGCCACCCATAACCGCAACAAAAATACACCCCAACACCTTCGCTCCAAAGCCCTCTGCCCCCCTCCACCCCCCCCGCGTCTCCTCCAGCTCTGGAACTTTGCACTGGCCAAAATGGTTGGAACCGAAGGCCAGCACCTCCGAGACTTGGAGTTTCGAACATCGGCGATCTCCAAACCCCGAGATGTTCGGAGAGAAACGCTTCATGTCTTGTCTGGGCAGAAAGAAAAATTCAAGTCAGTGCAAGAAACAGGTCTCTTTATCCCAAAGCGTTGGGCAACTTTCATCTTACCCTTTCTTGTCCCGAACTCACCCAAAAAAGACCTTGGACGTGACGGAAAAAACGCGGCGCCTTGCCATCACTGCGGAGCAGCACTGTGTGCACATCTCCGGCAGAGATGTCCTCCTCGGTTCGCTTTGGGGGCTTTGGGGACTTCAAGGACGGGCAAATGGAGATGGTCCACGCTCGGAGACGCGCGAGCGGCTTCGTGTTCACCCTGCATGTGGTCAGGTAACCCTTCATTGGTGGCTTGGATTGGTGGTTTGGGGATTTTAAGCCAGTCCCAACCAGGGAAACCACCAAACCATCCATCCACCACTTCATGGGAAGCTGAGGCTGAACAACCTGCCGCCCAAAAAACCCTTTCGACAATGAAATGCCGCGGCCCAAGTCTTTTTGGACGTAATCCAACGCATCCAAGGCCCGCACGTATTTCATCCCTGGAGCTAGCGGAGGGATGCTGCACTGGCCACACCTGCGGGTGAGTGAGCGGTGAAAAAATCGGTGTTTCCTGTGAAGCACATGGGAAAAGTGCTCGTCCCCTGGTTCTTGTGGGGAGCAAAAATCAGCTCGTGGTTCCTAAGTAAAAGCAAATCAGCTGGCAAGCTGCCACTGAGAATGGCCGCACCTGAGAAAGCCAGCTTCAAAAGGTGCAAAGGTCAAAAGGGTCGCACCTTCGGCTTCCACACCAAAGTAGATGGCACAATTCCATAGGTGTGGGTATCTGAAGGGATGCCCCTGTGCTCCATTCCCAGCTACCTGTTGTGAAATGGGCGAAAGGCACAAGCTTCTGGCAAAACATCAACGACAGAACAAGCTCGGAGAAATTTCGGATTGCCTCCCTCAAGCTGGCAAGTATCGAGCAAAGCTGCCAAGCTTATGTCAGCTCCATGGAATCCAGAGTCAGCCTTTTGAAAATGGTTTCCCTGAGATCCTGAGACCCTCAAACCCTCAAACCCTCAGACCGCCAAGCCCTCAGACCCTCAGACCCTCAAACCCCTCAGACAGGCCCTCAAATCCTCAAACCCTTCCCACACTTGCCATTCCGAAAGGCTCCCTACGGGCTGGGAGCCAACCAGCGATCGGCTCCCCCGCACAACTCGGCGATCGGCGATCGGCGATCGGCGATCGGCTCGCGCCTGTTGCTGCCCACGGCCAAGACCCCTCCGTCGCTTCGCAGCAAGACGGTGTGGTGGCCACCAGCCGACACCTCGCGGGGCGAACGATTCGCGAATCCGCTTCCTTTTGTTAACGTCGGGCGAGAGGTCGAATCCAACTGGCCGTTTAAGAAAACTGGCTCGTGACATTCAAGGCAAAAGTTGCTTTTTGGGGAGGCAAGGACATTGGCTCAAAGGCAGGCCCACTGGCAACTCGTATGACAAGCTGTGACCAGCCAGAGCCTTGCAATTTTCCCTTGCAAAGGCTAGGCGGGGTTGGGGGCTCCACTGATTTACAAGCACGTAGCGTCGTTTGTTGGTTTGTTTGTTGTTTGGAGGGGGGGATGAAGCCTCAGCCAGTGCTGAGCAAACTATTAAACACAACAAATCCAACTATCATACGTGGTTGGTCGGTTGGTGAGCGGGTGGCTTGCTGGCTGGTTGGTTGCGTGGTTGGAGTATTGGCACCATTGGCAGGCCAGCCATCGTCGCCCCGAATAAGATAACAGGGAGAAATGAATGCGGAGCCATCCTGAGGATCTTTTAAATCAACAAGTCGAGTGACAATAAAAACCTGGCATTAAACTAGTCGACCCAGAACCATGTAAAGAATTAAGAAGGCGGCCGCAACTATTTATGGCTGGGACTCAAGTCACTTATGGCGTCAGAGCTCCAACATGTCAGGCCACCCCACGTCAAAAAGCGCAAGAGGGTCCTGCCTGCGTGTACGCAAGCCCCTCCTCTAGCGGAGGAATGCTGCACCTCAAAGCGACAAGCTCTTCGTGGGCGGACAGCTCGGGCGGCGCACTCCCCCAACACGGCCGATCAGTCGGCCGACGAACCATCCGACGCCAATCCCAACCATTCCGACCGTCCTCACCGGCCGGGCCAAAATCATACTCAATCTTGGCGCCCGGTCTCTGCCTATACATCTCCATGCGCCTCAATTGTGGGTCCTGGTAGCCCAGAAATGTTCGAGACACGCATTCTTCGCATGGAACCAAAAGGCTGGCGCTTTGCAAAAGGCGAATGCAAGCAGCCTCAAGAAATCCAGCCCCCATCAAGGGCCCGGCTGTCCGTGGCGGTTGTCGCCAGCTGCACACACATTGCCATCGCTCCGCAGCCAAACCTTGGATGGACCCCAAGATGGCTTCGTCTTTCATCGTGGCTTCCCGTTCAAACAGCTAAAAGGGGTATCGACTCAAAAAGATGACAGACCCACATCTCGGGCTTTCAGAAATCAGCTGAAAGTCCTCGATTCGGCTCCATTGCCTCAACCTCAGATCAGTTTCCACCTGTCCAAGCCAGAAGCTTTGAAGCACATGGAGCCACGATGCCACATCATCCCCTTATGGAACCCAAGCGAGTGCCCAAAAGAAGAATCTTCCAGGGTTTGCGGGCTGCATGCTCTGCCGGGCAATAAAAAAACATGTTGCCAATGTTTAGCACGGAAAGAGTCTGCCAAAAGATGGGAGGTCTCCACCAAGAAAACTGAGAAAACTCAAGCTTTTTGAGCCGCAAACACGGATGCGGTCGCTGTGTTGACGAATCCGGGCCATGAGGCAATGTGGTCGTCGCCCGCAGACACCTGAGTGTACCTGCTGCAACGCACACTTCAAGGCTCGTTGTCTTTGCAACCTCTGGCTTCAATGAAGCAATTGGGGAAGAAATATTGGCTATTTTGTGCGATTCTCATGTGTCCAGCAGTCTGTGGTCAAGTTAGAAGGAACATAGGGGAGCTTACAAAATGTCCGCAGCAAACATGGGGCTCGCCAATGTCCATTTGAGGATCATGTCGTTTGCTTGCTCTCATACCAAAGTTCACACCACATTGGACACTTGATTCCATGCCAACTCAAAACATGATTATCGGGCGCACAAAGCACTAAAGCGTCGCCATCCACAGGCCACACCAGTTACACTCTGCCCCAATCATTCAACTGGCCTTTGATTGTCGGGGAGCTCGGGAACGGAAAGCTCGTGCACTTCGCTGTCTGCTCGCCTCAGCCGATCTTGGGTAACCCATTCAATGTATTCCAACAAATGGGTTCCAGGATGCTACAGACATGACTATCCTTTGGTGGAAGCGGTCAGAATCCGACTATTGGACCCCTGCGCTTTGGTCTGATTTCATTCAGTCGCCAACTTTCTTCTTCACTCAGCATGCTTCTCAGATTCAAAAGGGTGTCTACCCTTTTTGTGTGGCAAGAAAGGGAAACTAAAAGGAAAATCACAAATTTGGGTGTCCCCAAAAATAACAAGACACACCCACACCATGGTTGGCAAACTAGTTCAGCTGGCGTTCCGCAGCGAACAATGTGAGGCCCATGGATCATTAAGAGCAAACCGCCGACTCGTTTCGGTGCGGTTGTGGGCCATACCCATGAAACACAGTCCTTTCTGGCTATGCCCCCTTGCGGCAAGCGCACGTGTCACGCTGAATTGCAAGCCAGTTGCACCCACGACCGGCCATCGCTGGTCAGCAACACAGTATGGAACAAGCCTCGGCAGGGGATCAAGAGTTTGATCCACAAATAGTTTGACCCCAATGGGATCCAACGAATTTGGGATTGTCCTTTCCCGTTTACAGAACCTGTGGGTCCCGACGGCTGCTTTGGCGGAGGAATTCTGCACGTTCTAGTCCCCAAACAACTTCTGCCCGTCGAAAAGGGCTGTTTTTGTTGAGCGTGGGTGAAGTTTCAAGCCAAAGCAACATCAAACCATCGGATTCGATCTACAGAACAGCTTGCTACACCTGTGATGGGCAATTTGAATCGCCAAATATGTTCATGTGGCAAGACAAACTTTGGGGGGGTGACGGCACTTTTGACCACCAGGCCGTTTCGATCGCGCCTGTGTCGACTTGGACGATCTTCTCACCCAGCTCCGGAAAGTCCTTGGATGCCACTCCGAATGCCGAACCCGCCAGAGAAAAAAGGAGCGCCGTTCAAGGAACCCAAACTTCCGCAAAGCTTTCAGATGCCCCAACTGGGAAATACCTTGGCCAGCCCTTTGCAGAAAAACAAGGCAAAACGTGGGGAGAGGGGCCTTGTTCTTCTTTTGTTTTTTTTGTTTTTTTCGCTTCTTTATAGGGGTATGCCACCCGCTACAACTCTACAACTCCGCCGGGGATGCAAAGCCTGGAGCGATCTGATGCCAAGCCGCCCGGAAGGATCTGACGTCCCCCATCATGAGGACTCTTCCGTCATTGCGGAGGAGCAGGGTATGATCGCCTCCTGCGGAGACCTGAATGTACCTTGGCTCGAGCTCTCGAGCTTGCGAGCGCACCCATGCGCTTGCAGGCTGGCCACAAGGTTGTCCAGCATCTCACGCAACTGCTCCCAGCAAAATCAACAGTCAACATCCGGATCCAGAGGTTGCAAGATGCCTTCTGCGCAGCAGGAAAAAGCCTAGTTGCCTCCCAATACAAACGATCGGCGCTTCTCCACCATTTCCCGCCCTGGTTTAGGAAATTCTGTAACTTGGCGCCCCCAATGTCCTGGACCGGATGCCACCAGACCGGCTAAGACACCAAGTGTTGGCCGCACGACCTCTGTCGCGAAACGACCCCGACCATTGAGCCATGCTGCTCCAGGCCATCCTCCAGCTTTTGAACATCACATTGCCCGGCCTGAGAAATCGAAACCCAGACCAGTGACCATGGGGAAAGAAAAACAGACCTGCGACAACGGGGCCAAAACAGAATACCGTTGAGAATGCACTGACCCAAGCATCCTATGCATTTGTCTACTGTGAGCAAACATCAACAAGTCAAGACCTCCATCAAGCTTGCGTAAGAAGGACAACCTTTCACGGGACGCGGCTGCGAAATTCACCTGCAAAGGAAACCAGAAGGATGTCAAGTAAGTAGGGCCTATCCTGCAATTGCTGTTCAGGCGGAGCAAAACAAAGAGCACCTGGAAGTGTCCAGCACTCACCTAAAAGAAATGGCCCGGCTGTCAAGCTCTCGGATATCTTGACGAATCGGATGAAGGGACCAATCGGCCGCAGGGGTTTGGGGGTAGTTTTGGCCGCTCAAAAAATTGTACCCAAAATGGCCCGGTGATGGAAAACAAGAAACCCTGCGTACCCCTGGCTCAGCATTTTCTTGGAGCCACCCAGTTGGTGCTCTGGGACGCGGTTTCCCCATCACGAGCGCTCGAGCACCGAGCCGCCCTTCCATCTACCTGTCCTACCTGTTACCTCGCATCCAATATGTCTATATGATACCGTTACAAATGATTGGTGGACAGGAAAAAAGATGATGTCTACCACAGCGTTCCCAATACAAATACATAACAAATGTTGCTTTGTCTGGTTGCTTCAAGCCTTAGGCTATGGGTTTCATTGTCGCTAGTGTTGTCACGTCCACAGGCTTTCCTGAAAAAAAAATGCTGTTTCCCAACGAAGGTGCCACAACCGTTGATGGCCGCCGGGTGCCAGCAAACAGCAACGGAGCCGCTACTTGCTGGAGTCGTGACCAGGAATGCCTATATTGGTGGCCATGCTGGTATAAGATCCTGAGCGAGTAGACCAAGATCTTGGAAAATGTGTACATGTGCTCCCCATAAGGGCCTGTTAAGGACACAAGATTGTTTTCATGTGGTAAATCCCGCCTTTAGCCCCTCCCCCCCTTTTAGAAGCATCAGGCTGGATTTTGCCATACCTCTTATGTAGTGCTTCAGGAGTTCTTAGGGAGAGGTTGTCAGCCAACAATGACAGGTCTGGCCCCGATCGCGTTTTGCCAAACAAGAGCTAGTAACAGACCGACAGACCGCAAACACTGACTGAACTGCATGTTGTTGTCAGCTTCGCTTCGTCTTCTTGGCACGTTTGGGCGCAGCAAAGGTCTGCAACTTCTGTCTTCTTGGAACGGGCCAAAAAATGCAATGTTGGAGAGACTTAGACCCGCGTCAGACTCAAACAGGGCCTCACGTTGGTTCCGGTCTTTCTGTTCTGAATATCGATATCTTTGTCCGAAGTGAATGCCAGCCGGAAGCAATAGCCAAATGCAGCTCAACCCATGTTCTGTCTGCCCCAGGCTTGTTTCATCCGAAGTGTCGTCATTGGGACAGCCGCCGTTGAGCGATTTTGCAGCTTCAATCATGCGGCTTTAGCTTCAAGGGGGAACGCTAAAACCAGCTTGGGGAGGCATTAGGGAGGGAAAAGTGGGCTAGGAAGACAGGAGTGGATGTGGTGTGGGTCAAATTAAACCACCACAAATCCGCAGGTGTGCATGTTTGGCACTTACCAGGGATCCATTTGGGCACCTATTTTTGACCCACAGCCATGTAGACGTCGGGGGGTTGACCACTTCATAAGCTTGAGCCTTCCGGCCAGGGCGCACGGTTGTCGCCGCATGCAACGACCTGGCCGTCGCTTCGCAGCAGGACGCTGTGCGCCGTGCCTGTCGCGACCTGCGATGCCGGGGGCCGAGTTCGCGCCCGACACCTCGAAAACCATGAGAAAGCCAAAAAGTGAGAAAGCCCCCTGCGCATCCCAAGTGAGTCAAGTAGGTGAAGGGAGTCAAGTGAGTCAAGTAGGTGAAGTGAGTCAAGTGAGTCAAGTAAGTGAAGGGAGTGAAGGGAGTGAAGGGAGCGAAGGAATGTGACAGGAGTGACGGATGCGAAGGAACAGGAGTGATGGATGTGAAGGGAGCCAACGAGGTGAAGGGAGTAAATCGAGTGAAGCTTGCAGTGAGTGAAATGAGTAAAGTGAGCGAAGAGAATAGAGTGAGTGAGGTAAGTGAGCAATCCCAGTTGTCTTAGACTTCAAAATGGAGAGAAGCCTCCCTGCCACAGGCTGCAGTCACCTCTTTGCGAGTGGATCTCATTGACGATGTGTTTCATCGGCCATGCCAGGGTGTTCGCTTTTAGTTTGGCTCCTAGCATGAGGATGGTCCACATGTGAACAGCAAACTCATCCTTGCCACTGAAGTGGGGCTGACAGGTGCCTAAACCCTGCGTTTATATGTGAACAAACAACTCATCCTTGCCACTGCAGTGGGGCTGACAGGTGCCTAAGCCAGGTGCCTAAACCATGCGTTTATAGGTGAACAGCAAACTCATCCTTGCCACTGAAGTGGGGCTGACAGGTGCCTAAACCATGCGTTTATAGGTGAACAGCAAACTCATCCTTGCCACTGAAGTGGGGCTGACAGGTGCCTAAGCCAGGTGCCTAAACCATGCGTTTATAGGTGAACAGCAAACTCATCCTTGCCACTGAAGTGGGGCTGACAGGTGCCTAAACCATGCGTTTATAGGTGAACAGCAAACTCATCCTTGCCACTGAAGTGGGGCTGACAGGTGCCTAAACCATGCGTTTATAGGTGAACAGCAAACTCATCCTTGCCACTGAAGTGGGGCTGACAGGTGCCTAAACCATGCGTTTATAGGTGAACAGCAAACTCATCCTTGCCACTAAAGTGGGGCCGACAGGTGCCTAAACCATGCGTTTATAGGTGAACAGCAAACTCATCCTTGCCACTGAAGTGGGGCTGACAGGTGCCTAAACCATGCGTTCATAGGTGAACAGCAAACTCATCCTTGCCACTGAAGTGGGGCTGACAGGTGCCTAAACCATGCGTTTATAGGTGAACAGCAAACTCATCCTTGCCACTGAAGTGGGGCTGACAGGTGCCTAAACCATGCGTTTATTGGGTGAACAGCAAACTCATCCTTGCCACTGAAGTGGGGCTGACCATTCGTTTATTGGGTGAACAGCAAACTCATCCTTGCCACTGAAGTGGGGCTGACAGGTGCCTAAACCATGCGTTTATAGGTGAACAGCAAACTCATCCTTGCCACTGAAGTAGCGCTGACAGGTGCCTAAACCATGCGTTTATAGGTGAACTGCAAACTCACCCTTGCCACTGAAGTGGGGCTGACAGGTGCCTAAACCATGCGTTTATAGGTGAACAGCAAACTCATCCTTGCCACTGAAGTGGGGCTGACAGGTGCCTAAACCATAGGTGAACAGCAAACTCATCCTTGCCACTGCAGTGGGGCTGACAGGTGCCTAAACCATGCGTTTATAGGTGAACAGCAAACTCATCCTCAGGCCACTGAAGTGGGGCTGACAGGTGCCAAAACCATGCGTTTATAAGTGAACAGCAAACTCATCCTTGCCACTGAAGTGGGGCTGACAGGTGCCTAAACCATGCGTTTATAGGTGAACAGCAAGCTCATCCTTGCCACTGAAGTGGGGCTGACAGGTGCCTAAACCATGCGTTTATAGGTGAACAGCAAACTCATCCTTGCCGTGCTTGGTTTATCGTGAACAGCAAACTCATCCTTGCCACTGAAGTGGGGCTGACAAGTGCCTAAACCATGCGTTTATAGGTGAACAGCAAACTCATCCTTGCCACTGAAGTAGGGCTGACAGGTGCCTAAACCATGCGTTTATAGGTGAACAGCAAACTCATCCTTGCCACTGAAGTGGGGCTGACAGGTGCCTAAACCATGCGTTTATAGGTGAACAGCAAACTCATCCTTGCCACTGAAGTGGGGCTGACAGGTGCCTAAACCATGCGTTTATAGGTGAACAGCAAACTCATCCTTGCCACTGAAGTGGGGCTGACAGGTGCCTAAACCATGCGTTTATAGGTGAACAGCAAACTCACCCTTGCCACTGAAGTGGGGCTGACAGGTGCCTAAACCATGCGTTTATAGGTGAACAGCAAACTCATCCTTGCCACTGAAGTGGGGCTGACAGGTGCCTAAACCATGTGTTTATAGGTGAACAGCAAACTCATCCTTGCCACTGAAGTGGGGACCATGCGTTTATAGATGAACAGCAAACTCATCCTTGCCACTGAAGTGGGGCTGACAGGTGCCTAAACCATGCGTTTATAGGTGAACAGCAAACTCATCCTTGCCACTGAAGCGGCTGACAGGTGCCTAAACCATGCGTTTAGAGGTGAACAGCAAACTCATCCTTGCCACTGAAGTGGGGCTGACAGGTGCCTAAACCATGCGTTTATAGGTGAACAGCAAACTCATCCTTGCCACTGAAGCGGGGCTGACAGGTGCCTGAACCATGCGTTTATAGGTGAACAGCAAACTCACCCTTGCCACTGAAGTGGGGCTGACAGGTGCCTAAACCATGCGTTTATAGGTGAACAGCAAACTCATCCTTGCCACTGAAGTGGGGCTGACAGGTGCCTAAACCATGCTAAACCATGCGTTTATCGGTGAACAGCAAACTCATCCTTGCCACTGAAGTGGGGCTGACAGGTGCCTAAACCATGCGTTTATAGGTGAACAGCAAACTCATCCTTGCCACTGAAGTGGGGCTGACAGGTGCCTAAACCATGCGTTTATAGGTGAACAGCAAACTCATCCTTGCCACTGAAGTGGGGCTGACAGGTGCCTAAACCATGCAGGTGAACAGCAAACTGCACTGAAGTGGGGCTGACAGGTGCCTAAACCATGCGTTTATAGGTGAACAGCAAACTCATCCTTGCCACTGAAGTGGGGCTGACAGGTGCCTAAACCCAGGTGAACAGCAAACTCATCCTTGCCACTGAAGACAGTGCCTAAACCATGCGTTTATAGGTGAACAGCAAACTCAACAACTTGCCACTGGCCACTGAAGGGGCTGACAGGTGCCTAAACCATGCGTTTATAGGTGAACAGCAAACTCATCCTTGCCACTGAAGTGGGGCTGACAGGTGCCTAAACCATGCGTTTATAGGTGAACAGCAAACTCATCCTTGCCACTGAAGTGGGGCTGACAGGTGCCTGAACCATGCGTTTATAGGTGAACAGCAAACTCATCCTTGCCACTGAAGTGGGGCTGACAGGTGCCTAAACCATGCGTAGATGCATTGACATCCCCCCGCCGAACTGGAAGTCAGCGGCGTGCTCTTCGAGCATCCCATGTTACCGAGAATCGAGCAGCTGTGAGCATGCTGAAGCAGCCTATTCACCAAGTTGGCTCAAGGTCAGGGTGGGAATTCCCAACTTCTCTGATATCAATAGAAAGCCCTCGAAATGACTAATCTTCAATTAGGGGAGGTTCGTTGGTACAGACGTGAGAACCAACCGGGTCCCTCATTCCCGCAATCGAGAGCCGATGAAAGCCGATCGAGCCTGTACATAGTCCAGGTTGCTAGGAATCTCGGGAATGTTGCACTGGCCGTGCTTATTGGCCTCAGGCAACGTGAAGTCATTCTCATCGCAATGAATGCCTTTCCCTTTGCTGCCAATTGCTGACCAGAAGGAAAGACAAGTATTCCATCCAATGCTTTTGATCAAAGTCCAGTGGCATCCATCCTTCATCTTGGTACGGCCTGACATTTGAAAGGTGCTGGAGTTCTCGCCGACTCCTCCGGGACCTCTCCACCCAAAGACACGCCCAGGTCCGAATCAACAGAAAACCTCCGGTGGCCTTGTCGGCGGCTTCAACATCTGCCCACCACAAATCTCGCGCAGCAAAGTACACGGCACCAAGTTTTGATCCGTTCAATGGTTCTATCAAGCGGGCCCCTTTTGGATACACGATTGTCCTGTTGATGGAGGTCGGAAACAATTTGTCTATTACCATCTACTGGGCCATTTAAGTCGGTTCCGGTCCAACCTACACTGAGGCGTCTACAAAAACGTCATACTTAGTTTTTTGGCTTCAAGCAGGTCCTTTCAAGCCCTCCCGTTCAGAAGCCGCGGCGCCCCAAGGCCCAGCGCGCGGCCGCTGCTCTGAAGCAGTACTGTGTGCCGTCGGCCCATGGCGACGCTTCAAACTTGTCTCAGCTTGAGACCGAGCAATTGCTGCCTTGAGGCTCCTCGGATATTTGTATTTGTGGGCTAACTTGACAAATGGCCAAGAAAGCGGGGGCTGGATCTTAATGTCCCCAGTTGCAAACAGGATTGGACTTTTGGCTGCCTTGGTTGACTTCTCAGGCGAAATGCTGTCGAAGAGGCAAGTGGGCTTCTTCCCCGTCACACTGCCCAAGGCGTTTAATCTAAGCAGCGGCAGAAGCGGCGTATCGGAAGAACATCCAGGTGCCTCCTGCAAACCTCATGTTCTATCAAGGCACTCCTAACTGGTCAGGGGACCCTGAACTGCTGCTCATCAATTCAAAAAACGATCGCTTGCACAGGACACCAATCTGCTAAACGCATCCGAAAGGAACCCATTTAGAGCCCGAACCTAGGGTCACCCAAATTCGCAACCCATCGGCTGCACGAGTCGCGGAGTAAAACCTCTTCGTCCAACATTCCCCCGCATCGGTCTCGGGGCTCTTCGGCTGAGCCTTTGGCCCTCTGGCAAATCTCATGCCCTTCCTCGGCGCGTTTCAGGGTTCCTTGAATACATCCGAACACAAAACAAAACAAACAAACAAAAACGACTTGAAAAACTCAGCTAAAGGTGGACGGTTTGATGGATGGAATCTTTCTGGCACCTTTTGAAGAACTGGATCTTGAGCATGTCCTCCAAGAGGTGGCGACTTCTTACAAAAGCTGACTGAACAATACTGCCATGCACTGAACATGAGTGTGCTTTCCTGCTTCCGCTGGCTCCGGATTTACCCTACTTATGGGGTGGCTTTTGTCGGGAAACTCAAGGGAATCCACTGATTTTGCGGGGGGTTCTCTCAAAAAAAACAGACCCATTGTACTACCAGGCGCTTTTTTTCTGCAGCCAGTCGGCTGGCACAAAAACGCCTCCAGTGCATGCCAGGGGGCACGCCCGGCACAAGTGCTTCCTCGGGACTTCACAACTAAGATAACGTCCCCAAAAACATATATGAGCGACTTGCGAACCCTCTTGTATAGCCAAAGGACATCGGATAGAGGTTATCTGTTTTCTGTAACCCCATGGTTTTACAGGGTTTATATTAAAAAAATTGGACACAGCCTGTGAAAAGTTCACCTTTGGTAGTTGAAAGGGGAAAGGAAGGAACCCGAAATGGGTCTAAAAGGCAGAACGGTAACTGCGCTAGAAGAAAAAAATGCATCCGGTTTTACCTGGCATGTCTGGCAGTTAAGGCAGGCCAAGATTCTGACGAACTCTGTGTCCAACCGCGAAAAACAAAATCAACCCCCTCTCTCAAGGACCCAATTCGAAAACAAACTCTCTCTGGGCATGGCTCTTTGTGCCCTCTCTCTTGCTGACCAGGAACCAGCAGAGCGAAGCCTTGCATGGAACCGGCCTAGCATCGTGAACCGAGCTCGCAGGAAGTTTCAACATAGGGGAACCCCAAAATTAGTGGATTCCTCGTTGGTTTCCCTTTAAAACAAGGACAAAAAGTGGGTAGCCTCAAAAAACAACATCTAGTTTAACTCCTACTGTGGTTGGACAAAACCCACTTCGCACCAGTTGGGATTGATGGGTTTCCCCAGTATGTATTTATAGGGTCTCATCCATACCAACTGACACCTGATGCCTGGCCTGGTTTTGTCCATCCACAGTACGTTCGACGCGTGGCCAGCACTTCTGGCCTTGCTTTGCACAGCTCAAGCCTCTGTCCCCCATCTGCCTTGTCTTCCTCCTCAGAACCAGAGGTCCTAGGCCGAAGCGGGCAATTCAGCTTGGCCTCGCACACACCCATGTCAATGATGACGTGTGTTCTGTGAGTGTCGACATACCGTGGATGGACAAAATCCGTTTCGCACCACTTTGAAGCCATGGGAAACCATGGCTGGTTGATACTTGCTTGGTCATCATTCCAGGGTTTGTCAGGTGGTGCGAAGTGGATTTTGTCCATCAGTAGGCTTTGAAAATTCTGAAGCCGACTGCCCGGGAGACCTAAAGAAGGGCACGTCTTGATGCTTGGCTTTCTCACCATGCGTTGCTTCGCCGCAAAGAGGCATCTGTAGGGGGACACAAAAGCCCAAGACTTGGTTGTATGCAAGTCTTGTGCAAAAACCGCAAAAAACTGACATTTCGAGGATCACCATGCTCTGAATGAACTTGCAACTTGCTGAGAAAAAAAAGGGGCTGGACAAAACTGCTCATGCTCTGCCTTCGGATAAATGTGATATCACTCTTCCACTGGCCGCAACGATTGTTGAAAACTGATATGCTCAAAGAGGCAAAGAGGTGTTGGGATAGACCCAACCCAGAAAAAACAAATCAACAATCACCATTAAAGCCATTGAGACTTACAAACATGATGTGTTCCCCGGCATCGATCAACCCCATTAGATCTGAGTCACTCTCCATTCCATTGCAGCGCCATGGCTTCCAGCAAGCTCTGTCCAGTGCGGCCAGCTCAAGGGTTGGACCCTTCTGCGGATTTCATGTGCCGTGGGGATTCATGTGAGGCGGTGCCCTATTACAAAGTCAGAGCCATCTTGGGCTGGGCCCCAAGAACCATGTGCTCTTCAACGCCAAGCTTCACGCAATGTCAAGAGACAAGCAAGGATTCCTCGAGACATGTCTTGACTTGTTGAAACAATAGCTTGGAAACAATAGCTTGTGTTCCTCCGCGAAAATGACAGACATATTTTGTCCATCTGTCTTGAGCTTCCGGTAGAGAGACAAGACGTGCAGGCATCTAACACTCAGGAAACAATACAAGAGAAGGTGCTACCTGCACCCATAACTTCCACGTTTGTCCGGGCGGTGCAAGGTTGAGCCAAGGAAAGCGGCGCATTTGGGTGTCTTTCCGCTAGGGACCCTTCAAAGTGTTGGTCTTCCTTTTGGCTTTCCTGTGAAAGGAGTAGTACCAGTAAAAACAAAAACAAAACAAAAAAAATACTTTGGGCGTTCAACTTCGCAGCTTGCTGGTTCAAACTGCAAAACGAAGAGGTACTGGCGCAAATAATAACAAAATCATGGCCAGAGAATGACAATGTGAAACATGCACGAACATGCTGAAAAAACACCGGCCATTTTTTGGCAGCCTGACCCCATAAAACGTGGCTCCTGTCCATGTTTTCCAATGGACTTACGGCTTTTGTGGGGATTCGTTCCACACGGAAAACCGTAGCACAACCACCAGGAGTGCCTGGTCCACCACACCGCCTCCTTGAGAGCCTGGAAGGTCTCGTGCACCGCCTCCCTCTTCCTCCCGACGAGGCGCCCCAAAAATGCGGCCGTGGTCCGCGAGAGCCCCGAAAAAGACAAGAACGGGTACCCTGCAAAAAACCACAAGATCTCGGATAGGTCTCCGAAAAGGTTGATACTACTGAGCTGTCCTGTTAATGACCTCCAGCACAGAGCTGTCCGCGCCCATGGAATGCACCTTGGGTCAAAGAATCTCCCACGGCTCAGTCCATCACGCCACCCAAAACCCTCCCAGGCCCCCCCTTTGCCACGGCCCATGGCTTTCTTCAGACAAGCGTCATCCATGAGCTCGAAGAGCGCCGCGACCTGGCCACACACGGCCGCCAAGCGAGCGAGCCATGAAACAAGTCAACTCACATGAAAAGAACTCGGGGCTTGCTTGGTGCCTTTTTGGTTTTCCAGAGCTCGGCCCCCCAAACTCGGATTGTGTTTTTTTCCGCCAAACCGCCGAAAACCCTAGAGAGAATCGTGGGCCTTTTCGCCCCCTCAACCAAAAGCCAGCGCCTGGAACTCCAGGGAGCGAACCATGGAGCTGAGCGGCTCAAAGGAGTCGGGGTCGCTGGGCCTCGCAACACCCGAGAATAACTGGTCCGCTTCTCACTGATTGGTGGTTTGGATTAGTAACTGGGGATTTGAACCCCTCCTTCTTGAGGGTAAAAGGGAAACCCCTCCTCAACCAAACCACCAACCCAAGCCACCAATTAGTGGGAAGCTGAACTTTTGTTTGTGCAATGGAAAAATCCCACCTGCTTCAACCAAAGAAATATTCAAGTCCAAAGATCGGACTGCCAAATGGCCACTGGTTTCCCTTCTTTGGCTTCCTTTTCTTTTGGCTCAGGCCCTTGCATCAACCAACAGCTTGGATTTGTCCGGAAATACATACATATGTGTGTATATATATAATTGATATTATATATATATATATATATATATGTATATGTATAATATATTATGTTATATATATATACTATATTTATATACGAAATATATGTATATATATATATATATATTTATTCAAAACAAGATTGGGCAGACTTTGAGCCGCCAGCCAGGCATATCCCATGTCATGGACGTCGGACGCCTCTGAGGCCTCCTTGGAACAACTCGGAGCGAGCACCCGGATTCATCAATCACCGGTTTGTTAGGTTTTTGGGGGTCCCTGGGTGAAATGTGGTTGGAATCGGACCACCTTTGGAGGGGAATATCCAGAAGTGTAGCTTCTGGCGCCTGTCTGGGCGAATCAGACCACTTTTGGAGAGAACCATCCGCATATTAACAAAGTCCGGTTGTTGAATCCGCGGTCCACTGGCAATCTGGGTGCTTCCTTACCAACAGTTTGTTGCTTTCTTCTTGGCGTTCCCTGCGAGGGGTACACTGGCAAGCAAAACTGCCATTCCAATAGTCTTAAATGAGAGAATCAGGACCCAAACCACGTCCACAAAGCAACTGGAAATCGCCGGGCCCGTCTCCCATGATCTTTCTCTCCAAGTCTCGAACGGCATAGCCGACGGCTCCGAGGGATACAGAGCCTCCACGCCCCACTCGCGGGCGAAAGGAGACGGCGATGCTTTGGGCTTCGGCTGGGGCCGCAGTGGGGTTCGCTGGACTGGGACCCGCCGCGTGGGCATGGTGGGTATTTCCGGCATGTCGAGCCCCAAATGTTCCACCAGGTCGCTCAGAGACCGCTGGGAGATCTCCGGGCGCTGAACCTTGGGCTTGGGCTTGCGCCGCAGACTGGCGGACCAGTCGGCCGGCACCATTGGCTCTGACAGCTTTGGGGAGGAGCTGGACCGCTTTCCAAGCCTGACTTTAGGCTCGGGCCGCTCCCGCTCCCGCTCCCGCTCCCGCTCCCGCTCCCGCTCCCGCTCCCGCTCCCGGCGGCTCGGGATCTGTGGGATCTGTGGGATCGCGTCGCCCTCGTCGCGCTCGCGGCGCACCTCTTGCGGCCAGGCGCGGCTCGGCTCTTGCGGCCAGGCGCGACTCGGCTGGCTTGGGCTGGGCCGTTCTTGCCTGGCGCAAGATCAGATGCAGCATGCATGTCAAAGTGTCTTCCTTTGGTTTGCTCCCAAGACTCAAGCACAAAGACAACCTATGCTGAGTCCTAAAGCACGCCTTGCGCGAGGCTGGAGCTCCGCATAGGAAGCAGCCTCCCGTTGCAAATGGCATCGCGAGAATACTGCATCACAAAGGGGTCCCTCCCAGCGATAATGAATGATGAAGCTGTCTGTTCTTTTGACAGCGTGCCTTGTGAAATCCATGAACGCATTCCGAATTCTGACGGAAGGCAGTGACAAGACCAACAGTGAAGGACTGTGTTACAGCCTTACAATACCAACCAGACTGGGTCAACCAAAAGGTGGAGGTTCAATCCCATGTGACGCAAACAGGAAATGGCGCGAGAGGAAGAGCACCTGATTGATAAACAATAGGCAATGTGTCGGCTTTGATCATTGAACACAGGTGTTCTCGAAGCATCCCTGAGGTGGTTGGTTTCCTGTATGTTTTCAATCAGCAAACTGCTCTGCAACATGGGCTCATGATCCATGTTGCCTGTTTCATGCGGGATCCAGGAAGGCCTTCGCTCGGTTTTTTGGGGCCTGGAGCACAACTTCAACCGACTCCGTCCATGGCGCCCAATCTGCAGCCCGCGCCTCCTGCAACGGGAGCTCCCGCAGAGGCGTCGCTTGCGCCTGCCCCTTCAAAGGGCCGGCCTAGCTCAAAACTGCACATGGAAAGCGGCTTGCGCGTCGCAACTGGCCAAAACGGGCAGCTGATCAGCTGGTTTAGCTGCAGCCCCGGGCTGCAGAACATCCTTACCCGGCCTCATTCCTGTACAGCCTTTCGGGCCCACCCTCGATTAAACGCCTCCACAGGCTTTTCAAAATCCCAAACTCTGCCGGCAAAAGTCCAGGGCGCCCCACCGGCGCCAGGCGCGGCACAGACAAGCTCAGGTCCGGCGCCACTTGGGGCCCGATTGCCTGAAAGGCGATCGGCGTCAATCGCAAGCGTCACGACCAGAAACAGCTCAGTCAAAACCCGGTAAGATGTGCCACCCAAATCTATATGCAAATTGAACGCGGCCGCACCCATGGACCGCTGTACTACCCTTTCTACCCGAGTTTTGGATGCTGGCTCAGCTGCTAGACGCACCCGTTTGATCACGATGTTGGGGCAAAACAGACCCAAGCGCTTCATCGGCTATGAATTTCAACAGGGAACCATCTAAGTTATTGGTGCTTGTTGGTGTGACAAGACATCCCCACCGAGTTCAGATGTCCACCATTTCACCCCCGAAGTTTGCTCCAAGGCTCCGGCCATGATCTGAGTGCTCCAGGCCCCATGGGCCCATGGCTCCGGAAACTCACCCGAAGGCTTTGGGGTGGTCGTCCTTTGCGCTGGAATTGTTTGATACCAAGATCCAAGATTCCTTGCCATGGACTTGGATCTTCAAGCATCTCCCGTGCCCAAAGCGACTTGACGCCCTTCAATGTGGACACTTTGAAGCAGCTGTCACGCTGCCAAGCGGGAAAACACAAAACATCAGCTGCATTCGGCAGAACAGGACGCAAAGGCCAGATGTCGGCAGTTTGTTTTAGTGAGGGCAGCATCGCCAAGTTGCAAACAAATTCTTGCTAATCCACTGGTCAGCACTTGATTCGCTGCACAGCCTGCAAATCATATTCATGTATATTGTCAACTGAACAAGCCTCAAGGTCTGGAACTATCGCTGAAATGTCCAAATTAAGAACCCTGCAATGTTCAGCTTCCCTCTATTTGGTGGTGTGGAGCCCGGTGGCTTGGTGGTTTTGGAGGGCTGTTTTAGTAACCCTCTACAAAAGCCAGGGGTTCCCATCCCCAAATCACCAAGGGTTGCCTGAGATGTGTGCAATCCAGATGCACGACACTAACCATCCTTTTTGCGTCAAGCCGCCAGTGAGATCTTGTCCCGCCCTGGGAAACCGGAACTTCATGCCAGTTGGGGGCCGGGCCCATCCGCGCAGAGTCAGGACAATCATGTCTGAAAAAGCCAAACCCAAGCCCAGAGCTGAGTTGAGAAGACTCTTTGGACAAAAATAATACACAAGCCTGAAAATCAGGAAACCCCACACATGATTGGTTCTCTTACCTCCATCTCCCCTACAAAAAACCAACACAAGATGGAAAAGCTCCCAGAGACCCGCTTCCACGGCCCCTCACCTGTTCGGAGGGCTGAAATCCACGAGTTCCAGGCAGCCCTTGCGCATGAGCACGTTGCAGACGCAGATCCGCTCGATGGGGTCCTCGCAGGGCAGCGCGTCCAGGCGATAGGTCGCCCCGTCGCTGAGCTGTGCCAGCATAGCCGAGGCCGTGGCGGCGATGTTCAGCGTCATGGTGTCGGAGCCTCCGGGTTCCGACGTGCCAAGGGCTACATGGCTGTGGTTCAAACATAGGTACCCCAAATGGAACCCTGGTGAGTGGAGTCAAGATAGGACGTTGAGATGGGTGTGGCAGGCCACGCCGTGGTTCGAAAATAGGGTAACCCGCATATGGGTTGCCCTGGTAAGTGGAGCCATGGGCCAAAACCTGCGGTTGTTCTGGTGGTTTGAGTTTGACCCATACCCACAGTGAAACAATGGCACTGAAGGGTTTCAACAGCCCGGTTGCCTTTTTTGCCAGGCCTGAAACCTCACCCTCCCCCCCCCCCCCCCAACAAAAAAAAAAACATGCTGCCATGCCGAAGAGAGAGGGTTAGAAAGCTGCTTCGGGGTTCTGATCGATTCTGAGAAAGCCTTCTGCGCCCGAGTCCAACTGTCTCCATGCCAGCCCTGCCTCGTGTGAAGAAGGCGCGGGTACTGCCAGCGGAGCACCGGCATTGCACTCCCCGCGTCATCCGCAGCAGGCTACGCGAAAGGACTCGAGGCCCGCTGCTGCCAAGTGCCTGAACCTGGAGTGGGCACTTTTTGTTTGGAGTGATATCAGAAACCAAATGGAGATCAGCCATTCTGGGAGTCCAAATCACGATTTGTTGACCCCCACCTCAGCCACGCTCTCCGTCTGCTCTTTGCGCAACTGGCTCATCCGCGACTCGAAGTGCTTCCGAAGCCCAGCGGCTGTCACTTTGGACGCCAGCTCTCGCGCAAACCTCTGCACGGATCCCTCTAGCTCGGGTTTCTCCTTCAGCTCTCTCTTTGTCTGCCTCGTCACAGACGTGCGGAAGAATGCATCGGCCTCCGAACTCTTCGGCTGCTCCAGGAGGAGATCGGCCATGAATTTGCACAGCGAGAACTCCAGCGACATCTCTGCAGACTGCAAGGAGACCAGGACATAGACGTTGGGCATTCTGCTGGCGCTCGGCTCCTGGCGGCAGTCCACGCAGGCGGGGACGTAGAGCACGTCCCCGGCTTCCAATGTCCCCTCCAGCAACGGCTGCGGCCGCGGGGCGGTGACCGGCAGCCCCTGCACCGGCCGGATCAGCGTCAGCCGCTGCAGGCCCAGCAGCTGCACCAAGAGCTGGTCTCGCTCCACGGGCTGCGGGCGCCCGCGCTCGCCGTCCACGATGAGCCGTGCGGACACGAAGCCAAAGGCCGGCTCCATGGCCTGGCAGAGCCGCAGCAGCCACGGCAGGAAATGCTCGGCGCCGTGGAGGCTCAGCGTGGCGCTGTCCAGGTAGGCCTTGAAGACGTTGTCCGAAGGCGCCTCGCCGTGGGCCGCGGTGGAGCCCAACTCAGGTCTCGTACCCTTGCACAGCGCGTCGATGATGTCATCCATGCCGATCTCAGGCAGCAGCTCTCTGGCGGCTGCCGGCACCAGCAGCGGACTCCTGGCCGCCCGAGCGTCCGAGAAGCCAGGAGTGAGCACCTTCGCAGCAAAGCTCGCGGCGAGTTTCGCTCCCTCGGACGCCGCCATGGCGTGCGAACGAAAGGAATACAAATGTGGAAGCTGTTGGGTCCAGACACTTTCGGGTAGCCTGCCAAGGTGGTCAACACAGTGCCTTGCATAGGGGGGAATCATTTCAACTTGCCGCCTGGCATCGAGCTGCAGTCTCAATCAAGTCTTGCTGAGCCCACTGACCACATGTGAAACTGCGAAACTAACATGAGCGGCCCCTTCCTAAGATTATGTACGCGAGCGTGGCGCCAAAGCGCTTAAAAGGTGGAGTACCCACTAACACGAGTCATAACCGTGTTCGAGCACAAGCAAAGCCAGAAACTCAAAACCAGACTTACCAATCAAAACGAAAAAGGAAATTCTCCTACACATACTTGCCTTTCCGTGCATGACTGTCCACTCCAAGCCTACCAACCCCCGTTTCATAAGCTAGCCAAACCTGTTCACTCCCCTTAGGCCTGCACAACCCCTGCGTCGGCTTTGATCCTTGAGCATTTTTCTCATTGCAAAGCAAAAAACAACGTCAAGGAGAAAAATCAGTTTGCATGGTGGCTCTCTCTTTCGAGGGGGTTTCCCAAACGGATTCTATTGCACCTGGGAGGGTTCTGACACTCGTCCGTCCAGGAAACGACCTCGTCCTGCGAAGGATTCGAAGTCTTTTTTGCTGCGTGCAGGCGTGTGGCTGCAACAAAACGACCCCTAGATATGCTTGCAATTTCCTAGAGAAGGCTTTGTATGGCTTTTTCCTGGTTTCCTTGTTTTGTCTCAGGCTTTATGGTTTTGTTGTTTTTGTGGTTTTTAAGTTTGCCAGCGTAGAAAAACAGCAGAATCTCACAAGCCGAAAAACCGCATTTCTGAACATGTGACACGTCAACTTTTGTTGCTAGCTTTCGTGCTGAAAAGTTGCATATATTCTGGAGCTGCCAAAGTGTTCTTTGCGCACTGCTTGACTGGAAAGGTTGCGACTTTCGGGCCGGAGCTGCCAAAGTGCTCTTTGCGGTTTTGGTCTCTCCGCAGCGCCCCATAAGAGCTGTTCCCGTTTTTCTTCCCAACATTTGGTCTGTCATCTGTTTTGTGCCTTGTTTGTCCAAAATGTATTCACCGCGCAGTTGTGTTTCAACAGGGTTCTCCTCTTTATCAAGTGCGTGTATTTGATTCCAGGGAAGCACATGGACATGGACTGTGCAACAAACATACCAAATTTGCCGCAGTAACTTCCTGACAAGCTTACCCAAGGAGTGCAGTTTCACTGTGCGTTTTGTTCGGTATAACCTGACGCTGTGTTGAAACATGCCTCGCCTTCCGATGGCATCGACGGCTCTTTTTCCGGACGCGCGCTTGGAGGAAGTAGGGTGAAAGTTACTGGCGCAATTTCCCTAAAGCTGTTTGTTAACTACATGAGGCGGTTTCGCCTGAGTGCCCCAACGCTGCTAATTAAAGAGGATGGTTTAATCTGACCTGGGAAATTGCACAGTTTACTTTCACCCCAATTTCCCTACAGCTGTCAACATCAGCAACACAGGACGGTTTAACGTGACCTGAGAAATTGCATAGTTCACTACTTGAGATGCATAGCGACTGCAGGGCTGCAAGTGCCAGTGTCACTTCACGGACACTCGCGTGCCATAAGCTTCGTCTTAGTGCGTCATGCAGCCTTCCGGCGCTGCAAAGGCAGGGCCAGCTGCGATCATCTTGAACCGTGGGCGTTTTTGAGTTGCACGTTGGCATGTGTGCAAAACACGCAGCGTTTCTAAAGCCATTTGGCTTTTTGGACATATAGTTGCTGCCCCTGTCGCCGCAAAATGGTCGTGCACGTGAACTGCGACAACGAGACGCACGAGCAGCTCGTTCGTCTTGGCTCGGAAGTTGTAGAGGACGGTTTACGCTGGCGAGTTGTGTTTGCGGCTCACGTGTATTTGTTGCCCTGCAGGTGCTGACCGAAGACGTGGAGCTGAAAGCTCGCACGTTGGCCTCCCTGGCCTTTGTGATGTGGCCTTCGGACGCTAAAGGCCAGGAGCGCAAACCGTCGCAGCTGGCCTTGAAGTTGAACAAGGCCACTCGGCCTAATGCTGTTGCTTCGCGCGCGATTGCGCAGCAGTCATGCTTTGGCTTTCGAAGTTGGCCACAGATTGTGCTGCGGTCAGGCTCTGCTGAAGCCCTTGGTCTCAAAAGTGGCAGAGCTCCCCGACTTGGGGACGGTCCCAGTGCTTGTTGAGATTCTGGACGCCGTGCTCTATCAGTGGGAGGAGGCCCCCAAATCGCACGTATTGTTCTGACATATCATTCTTTGTCCCCGCACGCTCAGGCGTCATTACCGGCCGCAACCTTGAAGAAGGATGCGAGGGCCATCAAGTCGCTCTTGGTGCACCACAAGAGTCTCTAGGCTTGGTGCTTGCCAGGATCATGTCTGCAACTGTTGGACTTGAGCCTCAGAAAAGCCATGAAACCGTAGCTGCGGTCTAACGGCCAACCTGTGCAAATCCAATTTTGACATGTTGAAGGGGGGACAGGGCTTGTTGTTGACGCGTATCTGGGGGGGGGAGGGGGCGTTCCTACCATGAGCTTTGCTTTTGACATCTTGTGAGGCAGAAGTGATGCGTTTTGCGAAAACACCGCTTATTGTTTGTTCAAATAGACGGCTTGTAAACTGAAGATGTGTTGTTTCAAAAGGCCCTGCTGCGGGTGTTTGTGCTTCTGGTCCAGGCCCTGTGCGTGATACCATTCGAATGCTCCAACAAAGATGGCTACTTCTACCGAAAGCAGTTTCAAGAAATCCGCAAGAGTGCTGGAACCTTTCCAAACTGTAATTGTTTCAGGGGTTCCCCCAAGTGGCACTTGCAACGCTGCTCGGACTTTAAATTGTATTCTAGAGAGATACATGTGAAGGGTACCAGTTACCATCATTCTCACTCAAGGGCCCCTTTTTCCTCAGGCCAATGCCCAAATCTCCAACAGTTCAGGTACGAACCGATGCGGCCTTTCAACAACCGATTGCTCCCAAAAGAGGAACCCTTAATACTTGAGAAGACCGAAAACGTATTGCGTTAGATCCAAATTGAAACAAAGCAGCCGCAGCACGCTTGCCAAAGGCTTTGTTTTTGACAGCCGCTCCCAAACCAGAGCATTTCCAAAATTTAATGTTCTTGCGTTGGAAAGGCCCTGGTTTGGGAGTTTGCTCAAAGAGGTTTCCCAATTGAAGAAAACACGTTTGACACAACCAGGTGTTTGCCGTCAGCCTCTCAAACTTCTCACTTGGGGACCTTTCAAATTGAAATAATCAATCCCTGATGCTTCTTCAAAATGGCGCCCTTTCAAAGGTGAACAGTAACTGCTGCGCGTGTGCTGTCTAACATTGCACTTTCAGCCTTATCAGCGCGGGTTTGAAAGGGTGCCATTTTGAAGCCTACCCCGCAAATGTTTGGCTGCAGCCTGTGCCAAAAAAAAGCTTCTTTCTGTTTGGGGCGACTGGAGTTTTGTTTGTTTGAAGGGAGCCCCAATTTGGAGGCAACGATGGCGTTGAAAAAACACAAGCTCCGCAAATGCAGGATCCACTTGGTTTCCCCCTGTTCATGTGTGGAGCTAGCCCAGGATTGGCGGAGAGGTCTTCGACCCAGCGTGATGCTGATGTCCAGGAGCTGACGGTTCCTTGGCTGCAAGACAGGGAGTGTGTGTCCAAAGAGTGGGTTGGTTGCAGGTGGAAATTTCTTTCCCAAATTTGCCACTTAGAAGATTCATATTTGACACGTGGGGAAGTTCATCCAGCCAAAGCAAACCGGGGTGGAAAAACAGAGCCAAGGCTGAGATTTTCAAAACGAAGTCCGTGAAGCCGCGCTGGCGCAAGGGCAAGCCAGCCTCAACAGATGACAGCCCGGAACGGTCCACCTCAGCTGGAGATAGTTCAGCTGCCTCGGTTGCCTCTCCCGACGAGACGCAAGACAAGGCTGCTGCAACGTGGCGGTCCCTGGCGCTTGGAGGTTCGCTGCTGGCGATCACGAACGGGGAGCACTACGGGGAGGACTGCGAGGGCGCCAGCAGCAAAGACGAGGCGCCTACTGCGGGGAACGAACGTCAGACACAGCTGGCTGAGACTCAGCTGGCCGAGACTCAGCTGGACATTGACCAGGAGATGCCCAAGGACCCGGACATGCTCCGCTGGCTGAAGAGCCAGCCGATGGACAGCGGCTGCAGCGATGAGAAGGAGGAGATGCGATCCAGCCCTACCCACGTGGTAGTTGTGGATGATTCTGACGAAGGCTCCTTGCCTGACGTACCATGGGCGGAACTGCAACTGATGCGCTAGGTGGAACTGCGAATGTGTGTTGCGAACGGGCTCAGGCGTTGACGAGGTGGCAACCAGCGCGTTCCAGAACGTATCCCTGAAACGGACATGCCAGAGTTGAGCGCAGCTTTAGTTGAAACAGTGTTTTCGTGTTCTCGCGCAGGACTGACAACTTGGACAACTACGACACGCTGCCTATGAGGAGCCCTGCGGTGGCAACATGGCTGCTGTGATGACACGCGCAGCAGCTTGACAAGCGGTGCGTGAGCAAGCCTGCTCTAGGCAGCTACGTATCGCTACATGCGGTCCGTGCATGACAACGCGGTCCACGAGGCCATGGTTTCAAGCGGCTGTCAAGCACGCGCGTGCCAAACGTGCAAACGATGCGGCCTATAGGTGCTGGAGTCGCAGCATTGGACTTCAGAGTGGACGGATGAGGAGTGGCGGGCCTATAACGAGGGCTGGAAATGTTCGGGCTGGAGTTCTTGGGCAAACTCAACATGGCAGGGCTACAAGCTGCTTGGCACACGCATGTGTTGAGGAAGCGCTTGACTGAGACACTTGCAATGGTCTACTTGCGATGCTGTTTGAGCGTCATTTAAGGGCCCAACATTGGGAGGGGGCGACCAGGCAGAGCGTCTACAAGGAGCTGCGGAGGGACAAGTGAACGCTTTTGCTGCGCCCCTGCAGGATGCCACGCACGAGCACGACACGCTTAAGACTGCTTTGCCAAGCAACGTCGTTGCGCCACGGACTGTGCCGCTGCCACGGCTGGTGC